GGGTCTTAAGTGGAGAGGAAATTTTTTGAGAATGATGAGGGCAATGAATGTACAAATGTGCTTTACACAATTGATATATGTATGGATTGTGATAAAAGTTATATGAGCCTCTAATAAAATGATTAAAAAAAGATGTATACTTGTGTTAATAGACTATAGATAGCCAACTGTGTGATCATAACAAATTATGAATAACATAAAGAATGAGAATACTAGAATACTTTTTTTTGTTTTCCTGTGGGTCCTGTACCTAGATCACAAAGCACTCATTGAACAGATAAATTGTATATTGCTTAGTTTCAAATCACGTTAGTGCTTCCATGTGTGTTATCATTTATTCTTTCGCCACACTTATTCTTTATGTTGAGTAAATAATCTTAGAAGTTGGACTATATGAGGAGAGTTCAGCATCAGGATTGGAGAAAGACTTTGGAAGCAGACCAGCGATATGCAGATGATACAAACTTGCTCGCTGAAAGTGAAGGAGACTTGAAGTTCTTACTGATAACGATCAAAGGTTGCAACCTTCCATATGGAAGGATACAAATACACAGAGACTACAGAATGAAAATCTTCACTACTGGACCAATGAGCAACATCGTCATAAACAGAGAGGAAAGATTGAAGTTGTGAAGGATTTCGTTTTGCTCAAATCTAGAATCAATGAGCATGGCAACAGTAGTCAAAAGTCAAATGATGTACTGCATTAAACAAACCTGCCAAATATTTCTTTTAAGTGTTACAAAGCAAAGATGTCACTTTGGAGACGAGAATTGAAGCTCCCAGGTGCTAGTCTCTCTGATAGCTGAGCACCATCTTCAACATGCTTTGCTATGTCATCCATATACTCAGTGATCTCTTCATGAGGCCAAACATCAAGCAGGGTTATGTCATAAGAACTAATAGTTCTTTGGGGGCTATAATGCAGTGTGGGCCAAAAATCCATTCATATCTCTATGGCTTATCTATGTCTCTGGGTCACCTTAGAGACATCATTCTCATATTATGTTAAAGAGCATTGTCAATCACCCCCCTGGAGTATAAAGTAATTCTATTGATAGTGTCATTAATTTAGCCAATGGTATAGAATTTAAAATACTGTTGAGAAAAGGAAATTATGCAAATACAGATGAGCTATGAACACCAATATATGAAATTTTGACTTGTACAGATTAAACTCTTAAGTGACTGAACACTATTTACACAAATAATGGGGACTGGTGATGAACAGTGGAGGTTAGCGATAGGGCAACATTTTCAGTAACACTAATTTACAAAGGCATGTGGGGCAGGTAGGGCACATGGGGTGGGAGCGGGGCACTGAAGAATAAAGGAGAAAGGGGGAAAATGGTGAAAAGCGTAGCTTGCATACTGAGAATGGCTGCCCCAAAGTGCCAGTGAGATGTGCTGTAACAGAGAGCTCCCAGAGACCAGTAAGGGCAGAGGTTTGGTTGGCTGGGCTGCTTCAGAGGCCAGGGACAATTGGCTGTACGAGGGAGGAGTGGAGCTTGCAGAAGAGGCTGGTGCCACTGGCCAATGGCAAAGGGGGCTTTCAGCAGGCATTCCTGCTCCCCCGCTTTAGAACACTTGGGTATACTTAGCTTCTAAGCTGATTTTCTCAATTCAAGGAAATACAGGATCTCTCTCCTAGTGGAAATTCCCTGGTGGGTGCTGAGAAGATAATCTTCTTGTGCTTATTATCTGGAGGCCATATTCCTCTGTTTCCCCTCCATGGACTTTTTATAACCTGTAATAGGGGTTCTAGGTAACTTATTGGCTCCTCATTGAGAATATGATAACCACCAGCTGCTCAGCAGAAGAGAGATGAGGTTTTCTATTACTGTAAAGAGTTAACAGTTTCAGAAACCCACAGAGATAGTTCTATCCAGTTGTATAGGGTTGCTATGAGCTAGTCTAAATTTGACTGCAGCAAATGAATATGTTAAGTGAGCAAGAAGACAAAAAAGAACAAACTAATTGTAGGCATTTAAATAAATTATTTGAAACACAGCAAAGCTCATACTAAACCCACTGCCATTGAGTAGCTTCTAACTCAGAAATCCTACACCAGATTTCCAAGACTGTGGATCTTTACAGGAGCAGACAGCCTCATTTTTTCCCCTGGAACGCCTGGTGGATTTGAACAACAAACCTGGTGGTTAGGAGTCCAATCTGAGAGCACCACCAGAGTCTCTTTGGAACACAATAAGTATTTGAAAATATTTATTGAATCAATTAATGTGGATAATAACTATTTGCATGCTTGTTTATTTTTTAAGCATCCTTTCATGAGCTATATGAAGGGATTTTGAGACAAAAGTCTATGTTGAAATATGCACATACTTTAAACATTTATTTAAAGAGCTTAAAAAATCTATAATCTGATATATGGAAAACAGATAATTTAATTTGAATAAAATATGACAATAAACATATTGAGCACATCACAATTTTTCAGTTATTATTATAAACTTTAAGGGGAATATTAAAATATATTTTCTTTTGATATTACTGTAGTCCAAGAGGATTGTTGTACCAAGGCGTCATTGAGTTGCTTTCAGCCCATCGAATGAAACAACAGTGAAACACTGCAACAACCTGTGCCATCCTCACAATCGTTCCCATGTCTGAGACCATTGATGCATCCTCTCTCTCACTACATCTCATTGAAGGCCTTTCTCTTTTGTGTGGCCCTCTATTTTACCAAACATGATGCTCTTCTCCAGGGACATCATGTCTAAAGGATGTAAGATTAAGTCTTGCCATCTTTGCCTCTAAGGGACACTCTTATCCTACTTCTTGCAATACAGCTTGGTTTGCGCTTTTAGCTGTCCATGGTACTTTCAGCACCACAATTCACATGCATCAATTCTTCTGTGGTATTCCATATTCAGTGTCCAACTTTCACATGCGTGTGATGCAATGGAGGATACCCTGGCTTGGTCAGGTGCACCGTAGTCCTCAAATTAACATCCTTGTTCTTCTGAACTAGAGAGATCTTGTGCAGCAGATTTACCTATTGCAGTATATCTTTTGATCTCTTGATTACTGCTTCCAGGAGCATTGATTGTGGATCCCAGCAAGGCAAAATTCTTGACAACTTTAACCTTTTCTCCATTTATCATAATGTTACCTATTGGTCCAGTGGTAAGGATTTGGTCTCCTTATATTGCATTGTAATCCATACCGAAGCCTACAATCATTGATCTTCATCAGCAAGTGCTTGACTGCCTTCTCACTGTCAGCAAGCAAGGTTGTATCATCTGCATACTGAAGGCTGGTAATAAGCCTTCCGCCAGCCATTCCTGATGCCACATTCTTCGGTATATAATACAGCTTCTATGATTATTTGTTCTGCATACAGATTGAACAAGTGTTGTGAGAGGATACAGCCTTTCCTGGTTTAAACCATGCAGGATTCCCTTGTTCTGTTTGCACAACTGCCTCTTGATCCCTGTACAAGTTCCCAAGGAGCGCAATGAAGTGCTCTGGAATTCCCCTTCTCCTCAAGGTTATCCATAGTTTCTTCTGGTCCACAAGACAGTCATATGTCTTTACATAATTAATGAAACACAAGTAGTCATCTTTCTGGTATTCTCTGCTTTGAGCCAAGGCCCATCTACCATCAGCGATGATACCCCTTTTGTACATCCTCTACTGAATCTGTCCTGAACTTCAGGCAATTCTCTGTCAATATGCTGCTGCAACCGTTGTTGGATGATATTAAGCAAAATTTTCTTGTGTGTGATATCTATGATATTGTTCTATAGTTTGAGCACTCTGTTGGATCTAATAAACGTGACCCAACATTCCAAGAAGGTAGACTATATAAAAAAGCATTTGGCATCAGGATCGGAGGAAGGCTTAGTAACAGCCTGTGATATGCAAATAGCAACCTTGCTTGCTGAAATCAAAGAGGACTAGAAGCACTGCTGGTGAAAATCAAGAACCAAAGCCTTCAATATGGATTGCAACTCAATGTAAGGGAAACCCAAATCCTCATAACTAGACCAATAAATAGCATCATGATAAACGAAGGAAAGATTGAAATGGTCAAGGATTTTTTCTTGCGTGGATCCACATCAATTCTCATGGCAACAAGAGTCAAGAAATCAAAGGGGAGATAAATATTCTGCACAAGACTTCTTTAAAGTGTTAAGAGCAAGAATGTGACTTTGAGGACCACAGTGTGCCTGACCCCAAGCCATAGTATTTTTAATCAATTTCATTTATATATATATATATATATATATATATATATATAAATAAATTGGACATTGAATAAGGAAGATTGAAGAAGAATCAATACATTTGAATTATGATGCTGGTGAAGAATAATCAAAGTTTCATGGACTTCCTGAAGAATAAACAAATCTGTCTTGGAGAAAGTATGGCCGAATGCTGTTTGGAAGTGAGGATGGCAAGACTTCCTCTTATGTATTTTGGACGCGTTGTCAGAGTTCTTGGAAAAGAGTACCATGCTCAGTATAACAGGCAGGCAGTGGAAAAGAGGAAGCCCCACTAGGGGCTGGAGTGATACAGTGAATTACTTTATTGTGCCAGCTAAACTTATCAGCAATCTGGTTTTATCTCTCTAGAGAGCCCTGTCTAACACATAAAGTGACTAAAAAAAATGGGTTCAAACATAAGGATGATGAGAATGGCCCTGCCTGGTTCTGTTGTGTCATTTCATTGAGTTGGAATAAATACACCACTTAACAGCAACAAACACATGTTTTGTTTTTTGTTTTTTTTTTCAGATGAAAAACAGATTATCTAACTAATTTCTATCTGAGAGAATTCACTGGGTTATTTTTATGTACAAGACTATATTCAACTGTGAAATAAACAGTCCCTGTGAGTGTTTGAATGAATGATTGGACTGAGAGGAGATACTTACAACTTACTCTAGTGATCTCAGAAAGTCCCTGGGAAGGTAAGCACTCAGAACAATCAGCCATTTGCGATCAAAAGGATAATCTTTGCCCCAGTACAAGTTTAAGGAGATTGAAAGGTTTAGGAAAGAAAGAAGAGTGGTTATTGAAAACAGGGTTGCATTGGGTTAAGTGATACTACATCATGTAGTATGTTAGGCTGTTTTCTGAAGAAACAAACCCAGTGGCACTTGTATGTATATATATATATATATAAGAAAGAACTTTGAATTAAAAAAGAATTTTATATCAAGTAAGTGGCCCAGCCATGTCTAACTCAATTCCATGGGTCAGAAGCTAGCTGGAGGTCTTCACACTCACCCAGCTTCCGGGGAAGGAACCAGGATGGTGAAGTGGAAAGCTGGGAGATCACACTCCAGTGGGTGCCCAGTTAAAAGGATCCACAGGCTGCAGGAACGTGGTAGGATGCTGACAGCTCACTGGGTCTGGGGACCACGTGGGTAGAGGGCCTCACATGCGCCACACAGGAATCGGTCAAGCAGGAAGGAGAAGGGCAAGAGAGGGAGCAGTTCTCTATTACATGTCTTATAAAAAGGCCACACCATTAAGGAGAAGTCATTAGGCTGTGACCTGATTGGTATGTTGGACTTCATCTGTATCTTCACACAGGTCCAAACTGGCATACAATTTAACCATCAAATGGGGCTTTTAATCAATAACATGACACAAATTGTATATGAATTTTTTAATGAAAAATGGATTTACTCTGTAAGCCTTCACCCAGCTGACAATAAAGAATTCAACAACAATAAAAATAGAACTCCTCTTTCACATGTAGATTTTAAAAAGCTTATGAATAAGAAAAGAATTGTCAATTCTGATAATTCTGCTGCTTTGGTTAATTAAATTCATTGAGCTCCATCTGCCACTAATTTTTGCTTTTCTTTCTGCTGAAGAAACATGCATCTATCTTTCACTTAAATAGCAATATTTAATCATTTTATTTATTCACAAATGAAAAACACTATTCCTCCAAGTATCAAAACTTAGTAAAATAAATATATCTTTGTTAATTTCTAGTAACCTTGTCATTTTAAGTATGTTTGCTTTCATTTTTCACTTGGGATGGATGTTTTTATGTAATTCAAACAAGTAGTTGCTAAAGACATATCATTTTTAGAAATGAAAAATATATATCTTCTATCTTATGGTATAAAGCATTTGCCACTTTGAAAACAATATGAAATATTTGACTATGGATATTCTTCTACTAACGTGGTCCCGTCACAAAATAATTCCTCAAAAATGCACTAAGAATGTGCTCTGATTCATCGCCTGATCTTTATTCCCTGGAGGGATTTCCAACTTCTGACTTGTGGTTATCAGCCCAATATGTCACCATTACACCACTAGGGCTCCATTTGTGCACCTTAGAAATTAAAAGCAAACTTTTTTCATTTTAGCCGCGAGTTGTTGTGGTTAGGATCTGTTGAGTCTGTTCCAAGTCACAGTGCACCCAGGCACAACAGAGCAGGACATTGCCTGGTCCCGTGCTATCCTCTCAGTTGTCTGAGCCCATTGTTGTTGCCCTTGTGTCAGTGCATCTCCTGGAGAGGCTTTGTCATTTTCACTGACCTGCTACTTTACCAAGCATGACGTCCTCTTCCAGCCACTGGCCTACCTGGGATGTCCAAAGCAGGTGAGACACAGTCTCACCATCCTTCCTTCTAATTGCAGGAGTTATCTGCCTGTCCTTTTTGAAGACAGATCTGCTTGTTCTGGCAGTTTCAATATTACTGACCAACCCCATAATTCACATGCACCCATTCTTCTGTGGTCTTCTTCATTCACTCGCCAGCTTTTACTTGTATGTGAAGTGACTGAAAATACCAAGATGTGGGTCAGGCTCACTTTTAGTCTTCAAAATGATAACAAGAGATACAGAGATACATCATAAATGATAATAACTAAGAAATCTTTAATAATTGTCTTTAGAGACATTACAGGATAGTTTGTACCCACAAAACTTTGATAGCTATGAAAAGCAAATAAAAAGGATATTTAACAAATTAAATATGTAGTTGCAAAAATTTCAAGAGAAAATACAAGATACACTTGTAAAATTAATGCCTGTTAAGAAAAAAAGAAATGATTTTTTTTCAGAGAAATATATTTTAGTGTCAGATCTCAAAAAAAAAAAGGTGTAGACTATGTAAAACCAACACTCGCTACCATCAAGTTGATTCTGATTCATGGGAGCTTATTGGACAGAGTAGAACTGCCCAAGAAATGATTTTTAAAAAAGTAACATAAAGCATACATTCAAGAGTTCTGTATTTAACCAGCAATATTTCCAGAAAAAGAGAAAACAGAGAAAGTGATCAAAGACCTATCAAAAGAAAATTTTCCCAGAGCTGAAGAGAGCAACACATTTTCAAATACACGCCAACCCATTGGTAGTGAGTGGGGGCAGGAAAGGAACCCCAGTGAGCCAGGGGCTTAAATGTTGGCCACTCACTCACTGAAAAGGTAGGAGCAGAACTTGGTCAGCTCCTCCACAGGAAACCGAGGAGGCAATCTGCGCCAGTAAAGATTGACGCCTGGTCAACCCTGTAGAAGCCTTCTATTCTGGAGGCCAGGAAGCCTGTGAGGCAGGGAACTATTGCTTCTTCTTACCATAGATATTTTCCTTTCAGTTGTGTGAAATGTATTATTTTTCATGTTCTTAGGACCCATTGAGTCTTTTCTGACTCCCAGTCACCCTCTGCACAGCAGAGCCAGTCACCGCCCATCCTCACAATGCTCGAATCATCCTCATAATCGTTGCGGTGTTTGAGTCCATTGGTGCAGCCACTGTGTCAGGCCATCTAATTGATGGTCTTCCTCTGTTTGACTGCCCCTCTGCTTTGTCAAGCGTGTCCTCCTTTCTTAGCGACAAATCTGATAGCATGTCCAAATGATGTGAGATCAATTTTCACCATCCTCCATTCTAAGCAGCATTCTGGTTGTGCTTCTTGAACACGTTTATTTTTTCCTTCTGATAGTCCATGGTTTATTTTTCTTCTGGTTGTTCATGGTTTATTTAATAGTCTTCTCCAAAACCATCATCTTTTTTTGACATCTTAATCATTGTGCAGCTTTTGCATGCATCTGAGGCAATGGAAAGTGCTATGATTTGGGTTAGTCCATTTAATTACATAAAATGCTATTGGATTACAGAGAAAACACCTACTAATATATAGGCTCCAACAAAAGGGTGATAGAAATGAAATTTTAGTAGGACTCTAAGAAAAAGAAAAGAAGAATGCGATTTTATTTCTTCAGGAGACTTATAATTGTTTAGCATCTCCAATAAGGCAGATATCAGATGGACCTTGGTTGAAAGTAGAGAATACCAGAAAGATGTTTTACCTATGCTTTATTGACTATGCCAAGACATTTGATTGTGTGGATAACAACAGTCTGTGGATAGCCTGGAGAAGAATGACAATTCGAGAACTCTTCATTGTGCTATTTGGAACTTGTGTATGAATCGAGGCAGTTGTGAGAACAGAACAAGGGGGTATGGCATGGTTTAAAATAAGGGACGGTGTGCTTCAGGGGTGATGCTCTCACCATACTTATTCAATCAGTATGCTCAGCAACCATCAGAGAAACTAGATTATATAAAGACTAGTTATACAGAGGACACAACCTTGCTTGCTGAAAGTGAGGAGGACTTGAAGCACTTGCTGATAAAGATTAAGGATTTCAGCTTTCAGCATGGATTACAACTTGTGTTGAAACAAATCCAGTGACACTCATAGACGAGGGGGTAGCCCCTCACCCAAACATGATTTTTTTCCAAAGCTATGTATTATTATTATTTTTTACAAAACAACCTTATTTCAAAGTACTCCCCACTATACTTAATAAATTTGTCAAATCTGCAATGCCATTCTTGGAAACATTTTTCAAACTCATCTGTTTGGATGGTTGACAGCACCTCCCTCGTTTGTTTCCTCACCTCTTTTACATCCTCAAATTGCTGTCCTTTCGTGTCCCTCTTCATTCGAGGAAACCAAAAGAAGTTGCAGGGAGTGAGGTCTGGTGAGTAAGGTGTGTGGGGCAAAAGAGGCATGCTGTTTTTGGCCAAAAACTGGCACACTGAGTTGGCTGCATGAGCAGGTGCATTGTTGTGGTGGCAAAACCAGCTCCCCGTCTGGCACAAATCAGGGTTCTTTTGGTCGCATGCTGTTACACCATCTTTTCAGAACTTCTAAATAGAAAGCTTGATTAACAGTCTGACCTGGTGGAACAAACACTAAATGCACTTTGAGTCGACATTTTCATCTTCAGCAAGTTGACGGACATACAGAACGAGGTTTGCCATCAATTGACATTTCACCTTTTTTGAAATGAGAAAAACATTTTTACACTTGAGTTTTCCCATAGCGCTGTCCTTGTAAGCTGTGTTCAAGATCACAACACTTTCTGCATCATTTTTCCTGAGCAGTAAACAAAATTTCATAGCTGCATGCTGTTCTCTTAAATCAGCCACCACACAAAGTGAAGTTTGAGCGAAACTGCTTTTATAAAAAAATTCACTGTGACCAGAGGGAACCTTCCCAGACAATACCATGGGTGCACTAAGAGTGAGCTGCTTGGTGGAAATATGTGTACTATGAAAGTTCTGCTCTGCCTAGTACAATTTTGTTTTTTTCTGGGTACCCCCTTGTGTGTATATGCAAGAGCTTTATATCAAAGAGTAATGGTATATTAAGAAAACTTCCCAGCTCAGACCAGATCAAGTCCATAAGTTCAATGTTAGCCTATAAGTCTGATATTAGCCCACACATCAATCTTCAGACTCACACAGTCACGTCACAGGCCAGTGGGTGCAAAGTCTTGTAGATCCAATGGTAGTGGACGCAACTCCAGGGCTCTGGCTTCCATCAGCGTGGCTCCTTGTGGCTTGTCAACAGGAATGTGAAACAGAGAGAGAGGGTGACCCACCTCTTAGGAGAAACAGGAAGTTCCCGGAACCCTCATGAGAAAGCCACATCCACAAGGAAGCATCATCGGGCTGTGACCTGACTGACAGGATAGACCCCACCCCTTCACTCTTAATACCTTCAAGTTGACATGAGATTATGTAACTACCATACAACTCAATGTGAAACAGACTCAAATTTTCACAACTGGACCAATAGGTAACATCATGATAAATGGAGCAAAGGCTGAGGTTATGAAACACCTCGCCTTGCTTGGCTCCACAATCAATGCTCGTGGAAAGAGCAGTCAAGAAGAGATCAGAGGAAGCGTTGTGTTTGGTAAATTTGCTGCACAAGACCTCTTTAAAGTATTTACAAGCTAGGAGGTGACTTTTCGGACTAAGGGGTGCCTGATCTCAACCAATGTATTTTCCATTGCCTCATATGCATTTGACAGTTGGACATTGAGAAAAGAAGATCGAAGAAGAATCTGTGCATTTGAATTTGGGTGCTGGGCAAGCATATTCAAAGCACCACAGATTGCCAAAAGAAGAAACCAATGGGTCTTGGAAGAAGTGCATCCAGAGCGCTACTTAGAGATTCTGTCTCACATACTTTAGACAGGTTGTCAGTAGAGACCAGTCCCTGAAAAAAACCTTTATGCTAGTTAACGCAGAGGGGCAGTGAGGAAGTGGAACCCCTTCGACAAGATGTATTGGCCGTCGCTGCACCAATGGGCTCAAGTATAAGAACAACTGTGAAACGTGCGGGACAGGGTCGTGTTTGCTTCTGTTGTACCAAACTGACCCCTTGGCACCTCCAACAACAACAACATTAGGATTGGGAATCCTGGTGTTGCATGCCATTGTGAGGACTAGATAATATTGTGCGCATGAAGTGTTGTACACATAATAAATGCTCAATAAATGTTAACTCATTGTGTGAGAAGCAACATAGCATCGTGTTGTGGAAAATAGAATTTAAATTCAATTTGCCTGGGCTTGAATTTTAGGTCTAGTACCTCTTAGCTGTGCTTACCAAAACAAATTACTTAACATGTCTGTACCTTAGTACCTTCTGTAAAATAAAATATTATTAAGTATTTATAATAATAAAATAAAACATTCTGTAGAAAAATAATCATCCTAACAGTCTCGCAATGGTGTTACCAATAGTAGTACATTCATGATTTTAAAACACTGGTAACAACAAATGTTTGGAAAATAAGTGAAATGATGTTAGAGTAAATCTTCCCAATTGCCAAGTAAGGAAACTTGTGTGGCAAAGTGGTTTAAGCACTGGGATGCTTACTGAAAGGTCACTAGTTTGAACCCACCAGCAACTTCGAGAACAAAGATGAGGCAGTCTGGGTCCATAAAGACGTAGAGCCTCAGGAACTGAATCGAGCAGTTCCACTCTGTCTTCTATGTGCCTATGAGTCAGAATTGCCTCCACTGCTGTGGGGTTGTTTTTTGTTTTTTTTTTAGTGTCAAGTACCCTAGTCTATCCTGAGACACTAGCAGGTAAATTACTGCAATGGCACTACCCTAATGGGAATCCGTAGGGCACACTTAGAGCACAGAGTGTTAGAGCGCTCGTAAATTTGGTAGAGGCTGCATACCAGCCCAATCTTAAAGGATGTGAAATCATTAGCCACACAGTTAGGGGGCGGAGCATTCCAGGCAATCCTAATTGCTTCAAGTCTGTGCTTTTCACTACAACTATCTATCTAATCTAATGATTAGAATAACTAATCATTCTACCCAATTGTGACTTTGGTGGGTAGCACTTCGTTAAAGCCTCGGGGTCTTTTCTGACTGCTCCTCTGGAATCGTAGTCCAGTGGATGACAAGACCTCCGAAGATTCCTGGTCTCCGAGCTCAACCAAAGACCCTCGTCTCGATTTCTAATCCTTGCTGATTTATTCTCCTTAGCAACTTGTGATCGTAGTTTAGTCCGGTGATTTAATTAGTTAGTCCTTCCCCAAATATATGAAATGTTCTTCTGTGATTAATTAAGCGGGATTATGGATTGACTTGTGTCCCGTAATGGATGTGTTGATGTCCCCAACCCTGTATTGAGGAATGTGGCTCTCCTTCCATTCCACATGGAGGTAGATAAGGAGGGTGAGTCCTAAGCTTTTCTGTGTGGTGTCTTGTAAAGGAGAGAACAGCCAGGGAGAGACATACAAGAGGAAAATATATTATAAAGAGGATATTATCTATCGTCTTATGAATGAATCCGGGACACTTTCTTTCTGGCCTTAGTCTTAGTACTGTTTGATCCCTTTTTCTGAATAGTCAGTTTCACGTTACTTTAAGAACTGTGCACCTGTAATTGTGCGATCTGATCAAAAAGGCTTAAAATAAGTGTATGGCACACCCAGGTAGTGAATTCAACTTAATGGTATGTGTTTGGGTTATTATGCTACCAGTATATTTCCAGTCGATTCCTATTTTCCTCATGGTTTTTTAAACTTTTGGGCCATTTTTAGCATTATATGTGTCTTTGTAAATCGCCTTTATTCCTTATTGGTCTAGTTTTTGGCTCTATGTAAAGCACCACTGATTTTAGTCTTTCCAAGGTTGCACTATTCCCTTTTCACATTCCTGATTGTTTCTCCGTTACATAAGAGTAAAACCAGGCTGCAAGGATTCCATCATCAGAATAGTTTGCTTTGCGTGGGACATTATTGTTAAAGAATAGTTGTCCTATGTAAGGAAAACAACTGATCTATTTGGTCACCTAACTCAAAAGATCAGTTGAGTTAAAAATGAGTCCATTGTTGGACTGACTTACTGGTCACAGCCAATTCAATCAAATCACTTAGTTTAGTGATATGCTGTATTTATGATGCCTGATTATGAAGCTTGCCCTTGAATTTATTTTATGAGAATAGTTGATATCAAAGACAAGTGGCATACATAACAGGAAGGAAGTTATAAACATTTAATATGACCTTATCTTGAAGATTATACACTGAACCAATTTCTGGAAATTCCAAAGAAACAGTGTGATACCATTATATAATGTTCCTACCTTCTCATTGAAAAATGATAATCTGAAAATCAAGTTTACCAGTCCATAAATGTTTTTATCATCTGTTTTACTGGCCAGCACACATTCTGGTGCCTGAAATGTTAGACTTGTTTCCAGGGGTATTTGACCAGCTGAGCAAAAAAAAATATGGTACCAGTTTTCCCATCAACGTAGTTTTTGTGACGCAAACCTATGTCATATGCCACTCTTCACTCTGCTCACCCATTAAAGAAAAATCAGGATAATTTAATGTAATGTTTAGTCTGAAATAGAGGACGTGCATACTGGCTTTAATTAAAGCAGTAATGTTGTACTAGGTTTTTAAGTCAGGTTATACTTCACATGGTGTCCTGTGATCCAAAGATATATTTGAACACAACGTAAACTACATGGACTTGGGGTTTCCCCTAAGTATCATTTTACCTTTATTGGGAACTGAATAGTAGGCAGTTCCGATTTGTAATCAGAGATGAAGCCTAGAGATGATCCAACAACCTGCTTTGTCGATGAGGCACCTGAGGGTTAGAGAGGTAAAGTCCTCAGTCCTACTGCTGACTCGTGGAAGAGCCTTAATTGCACCTTTTCACCAGCTCAGGGTTTTTCCCAGATCACCTGCACGTGAATGACATTCCTGAGTTGAGTTATGCAGAGACTGGAACATCAGAACACTTTAGTGTTTCATTATCTACCCAAGCCTAATGTATTAAGGTTTATTGCAATTCTGATCCATGACATAATAGTACAAATAATTTTATTCGTGATGTATTTCAAAGTAGAAAAGAATTCATGGGAAAGCTTTCACTGGCCTTATCTCTGTCATTTCGATCTACTAAGCCACCGGGCTTCCCTTGAATGACAGATGTCTCTCCAATGCCAATACCACCTCTTCTGGGAATGATGGGTTTCCGGAAGCACATTGGAACTTCTCTTCCTATTTATTGGAAATAAATGTGCTATCATTGCAAAGGGCATAATAGTTGACTTTGCAGAATCGGGGTAGCAACAGAACCTTTAGAAAATAAAAGACATTTAAAAACGACATGAAAAAATATGAGGACTATGATATTAATGATGTTAGATTGACAATTATATATCTAATCAATGTTTTTGATGGATCACTTTTGTTCAGATAAAAACTGTTTTATCCCATAATACCTGCCCTTTCAGATTTGCTTTGGCATAAAGGAATATTGAATGTTTTTATTTATATGCTATATAAACTCAACTATTTTAAGATAGCATGCTCACAGGCATAAGTGCCCCATGTTGTGTTAAGCTGGCTACATTAGAGAAACAAATCCATAGAAACTCATATGAATAACAGAGAGTTTTATATAAAGGGTAAGTGCACATCAAGAAAACATTCCAACCCAGTGCTGCCCAAGCCCACAAGGCCAACATTAGCCCATATGTCTGACACCAATCCAAAAAGCCCTCCTCCATCTCACAAAACACACTCAATGACACCGACTGCTGGAGGAAAGCTGAGTCAGTGAGCACGTAAGCATCTCTGGCAGGGCTGCTCCAGCACCCAGGGCTGCATCAGGGTAGGTCCATGTGGCATCTCCTCGGGGCTGTCTTGCAGTAAGTGAGCCTTGCCAGCTGAAGCAGGGAATTGGCTAAGGCAGCTGCGCCCTGGTCTGACCATCAGAAAGCCAGAGACCCGAGAACTAGAAAGGTGAGGCTCACTGAGCCATGTATCTCCACATCCCCACATGTGTTTATCGGCTTGGTTGGCACAATAACTTTAACTATCTCAATGTGTATCTTGATCTGAGGAATCTCTCATATGGATTCAGGGAATTACAGTTTAAAGATTTCTCTTATATAACCCTTTCCTCTAATGTTTTCCACAGATAACTCATGCACATATAAAAGTGATTATATCTTTGTTTATGTTACTGTTTCATATTTACTGTTTTTCAGGTTTGCTTCTCTGAAGTAAGATGAGTTGGCAAAAATTCTTTGCAGCTTTGTTGCATTTGGGTAAGTTGCTTGCTATTTGAATGTCCAGATCCCATGTAGAGATGTTGCCCATACAGGCAACATTTCCTTTATTGCTTACTAGAACTTTACATCTTCAGTTAGAAATTTTTCTCATCCCATGGAAATCAAACATAAATATAACTCTGAAGCTCAAAATCCATTCCTACCCCCTCAAAGTGTGAAAATGTAAAATCTTTCCAACCTCCTGGAAACGAACCTGATCATCTAGCCTTCCAGAGTGTGCGCACACGCTCTCTGTCTGTCTCACACACACATACAGTTCCAACTTATAATTGGTCCATACACATTATCTGCCTTTTCTTTTTTAATACTTAACTTTTTTTTCCAATTTATCACAGTGGCTATTCTTGTCAGTATCTACTGATTTGCTTATTTGTTTAATGGTTACAGGACAATGTGCTATATAAATGTATCTTAAATTAGGAATTTAATTGCCCAGTTTCTCATTGGTAGACTTTTTGTGGTCTGTAACAAAGAACTACTGCTTTGAAAATTCATTTACTTACATCTTTGTCTGTGTGAGTCAGTATTTTAGTGATTAAGTCCTAAAGAGGAATTTCTATGCTGATAATAAAATTTGATAGAAGCTGTGAAATCTCTCTGGTACAGATTTGGACGATTTACAGACCCAACTGCATGTTTACCAAAGATACATATTATCATTCATTTCATTGTTTTGGCCCTGTGGGATAAGAAAATATGGCATTTCATTTCAAGTTTATTAATTTATTAATGAACTTGTGCACTGTCTATTAACCATTTATATTTCTTATGATTTGCTAGTTCATATCCTTTGACCATTTTAAAAAATTGAGTATTAGTGGTTTTAATTGACTTTTATACATTTCTGAATATAGTTGGTATTAATCTTAATAGTTTATCATACTTTTCAAATACTTTTCCAAAATCTGTCATTTGCTTTAAAATTAAACAAACACACAAAACTTAAATTTTTAAGAGAAGTCTTAAGTTTACAGAGAAATTAATCAGAAAGTGTAGAAAGTTCCCCTATGTCTCCTCCTCCACTTGCACTCAGTTACCTTGATTACTAGCACCTTGGATCACTGTGCTAAATTTGGCCATGTCCTTTAACCTCATTTTCATTTGAATCAAAGAAAATCTTTTCTACTGTGTATAAATTAAAACTGTCAGTTTGAATGACTCTGTGAGACGAAGTAGATCTGCACCATACGATTTCCCGATGTCAGTGTTTATGGAAGCTGATCACCTCGTGTTTCTCCTGAGGGGTACCCGGTGGGCTCAAACCACTGACCTACTGCTGACATGTCAGGGCTCCTACATACTGTAAATCTGCGTAGGAACAAGGGACAATGGCATTTAAGTCTGGTATTTAGCAAATGCAACATTATTGAAATACACACACATATCCGATGATAGTTGTTATGAATTAAAATTTGTACTCCTCAAATATGTATTGAAGTCCTGGTTCATGTACTTGTGAATATCATCCTACTTGGAAATAAAGTTTTTCTTTTGTTAATGAGGACATAGGAGAGTAACTGGGTTCTTAACCTAATTACTTTTGAGTTACTGAACGAATAGACACAGAAAGAAACAAATAGGGAGGAGAGAGGCCTTGGATCTCAGAGCACTGCTACAGAACACATGGGACTGTGGCCCACTGAAAAATCTTCCCCTAGAGCCTTCTACCCTTTAAAATTCCCATTTTTTAAAGCCACCCAGGCTTGGAACTTTGATATTTCTGTTATGTCCACATTAAGTAACTAGTTTAATAAACAGTCAAAACTTTCTTTGCATCAAGGAGTTTTCTTGGTGATAGTATGTCCAATGAATAACTATAATACAAAATGAAGGGCTCGTTCTCCAAATGGAGATGGCAGTGCAAATGTTATTCCCCATGAGGATTCTGGTAAATGACGACAAGTATGATGATCTGAGGGGTTATTTTCAAAGGTTAACATGTCCCTTAGAAAATGACACCTTGAATACACCAGCAACAAAGGTGTACAAGTTCTTTCTTTAATCCTCTTCTGGAACATCCTCCAGAGAAGAGAACAGATTTTATGGTAGTGCTTTGTTGTGGTTTTAACAGCTTGGCATCACAGCAGTCCTCTCTGGAATCAGTGCCCCATCACTGATAAATATGGTGTGCTCCGGGTTCACTTGTTTCTCTCTGCATTGTGGTAATATTCTGATTCTTCAAACCCCAAATCACCTAGTTTAGGCTGGATTTCAAGTTTTGGGATTGCAAATCAGGATATCCTTAACAAACAAGCCTCATTTTATCTGGCAGCCCTTACCTGTGGCACAACGAGTTTTGAGTATTTCCTTGACTACTTGAACTCTCAGGAGCTTCCCTACAGGTGTTCCTGCTGTGTAGAAAGCTCTTGTTTTTTCTCATTGTAGTCATCTGTATGCTTATAGGAAATACATGCCCAAGGTTGCTCATGGTTGCACATTTACCCTCCACCCCCAAAAATCATGTCAGGAGAGATTATAAAGAGAAATAATATACCCATTCTCGTTTGGTGGACTCTAATTTTATTAAATTCCATTTTATTTGGTCATATGGGATTTCTGAAAGGTTTACGGTTTGGAGATGCAGAAGAGATGCGGGGACGTCATTACTGTGATAATGTATGTCTTCAGAAGGATGTTCTAGACTCTTCATGTTTCGGGGTTTTTTTGGAAAGAAAGAGATAGTTTGCAAGGAGCATGTATACAAAAATAGAATTATCTTTTAATTAAACTAATTCAATTATTGCTATGTCTGTGAAGCTTATTGCTACATTTTAAATTTCAAATGCTTCTTTTAAAGTTTTAGGCTAATTTCAGTTTAGTCAACCGAATCTTCACTTTGATGATCTTATGATACCAAATTGTCATCAATGTGGGCACAGTGGTATTAATTATATTAATTCTTCCTGCTTTTATTTTTGCTTCTGATACCTACCCATATTTATATTAATTTATATACAGGAGGGTTTGGAAACATATTGTAAATGGTCATTACCTGTGTATTATTGGGATGTTTAGCAAGCATATATTTGTAGTTTTAAATTTTTTGAATGGATTGTTTTGATTTCTTTTTTCTTCCATTTCCCACATTTCTTTAAGATTCCCTTTCTATACTAGTTGAATATACAGGATAACACTAAACCCATGGATTTCGACTCAAATCCAACTCATGGTGACCCTTAATATAGCTTCTGAGTCTGTAAATCTTTATGGGAACAGATAGCCTCATTTTGTACTTGTGAAGCTGCTGGTGAGTTTGAACTGCCAAACTTGAGGGTAGCAGTTCCAACATTTACCCAACAGTGCCACAGGAGATCTTTGTGGTAACACCAGTATTAGCTAATCACTTTGTAGGGGTTTTATGGTAATTTTATATTAGAAAAAAGCTTATTGTCATTTTATAAAAGATAACCCATTGCTGTTGAATGGATTCCAACTCAAAGCCAACCTCCAGGGCAGAATAGAACCACCCTGTGGGGTTTCCTAGGCTGTAACCTTCACAGAAGCCTGGTCTTCCTCTATAGTGTATCTGAGAGCTTTCAGTCACTGAACTTTTGGTTAGCTGTCAAGTGTTTTAACTACTAGACTCCAGTACTGTTTCTAAAAATGCTCAGATATTTGTTACTTATTTTTTTCAATGATTCATTTATTTGAGTCACTTGTGAAAAACATTCTGGAGAACTATCAATTGTTAAGAGATAATTATAGTGGATTTTATTTTCAACAGTGTGTTTACAAATGAGTTTAACTTCTGATGACTTTGTCTGTACATTGTTATATACTGTATATACTCGTGTACAAGCCGGGTTTTCCAGCACATCTTTAATGCAGTTTTGGTGGTAAAATTAGGTGCTTCTGCTGATGGTCGGGTTGGCTTATACTTGAGTATATACGGTAATCGTTCTTAACTTTCCTATGTTTAAAAAGTGAAAATGGTTTCCAGTAAGAAGTCTCTTGCTGCATCAGTTCTTGGCATTAAGCTCATGTCATATAGGATGCCATGTTATCCTGAGGATGTGGGCAGATTCAGCTCATCCAGCTGCCCTGTTGGCAGAAGCAACCTCTTTCTCAAATCATTAAGGAAAAAAATATTCTCTTTAAGAAATATTAATATTAAAACAGCACTTTGAATTTGTTTATATAATTGTTCACTTTCATGTTTCCCACTTATCCTGGAAGTTAGTTAACATAATTAGGTTGCAGAAAAGGAAAATAAAAAATATTTAACTATAATTTACTCTTATTAAAATGCAAATGTAAGATGTTAAATTGATGGGAATAAAATGAAGTGTGAATTTCCAAGAAAGGATGCCAGAGACAGGAGTTCTTTCTATAAATAAATGTACCCCTTCCAATACAACACCTTGTAAAGTAGAAGCACAGAGCTATGCATTAGGCACTGACTGAGCACGTAGAAAGTTAAATAATTATGAGTGAACATAACATGGTTTAAGCTGAGTAACTCCCACTTGTGTATCTTTGTTAAAGTGCCTGAATATTTTTTCTATGTGTCCTCTTAAGTTAACAGTTTATTTATGCGATAACTGCATTTAGCTTAGTCAGATATTTCCCATTTATCTGGTTTTCAAAATGATTAACTCTCTGTCTTTTAAATATTTTAACAGAGTTTATTTATGTGATAACTGCACTTAACCTGCCATATCCTATTACTCCCTGGAGATTTAAGTTGTCTTGCATGCCACCAAATACAACTCGTGACTTCCTCTTGCACACTGGGCTGTCAAAGAACACTTCAAGTGTGGATGAAAATTATGAGGCTGGTGTCGAAGCTAAACTTAACTCAAGTGCTGCCTACTTTTCTAACTTACCATCCAAAACTACTTTCCATTGTTGCTTTTGGAGTGAGCAAGAGAAAAGATGCTCTAATCCTGCAGACGAGAAGACACTTGTTTCAAGTGTAAATTCTTTAGTATCCCAGCAAACAGGTAAGTATTTAATGTTCCATGGACTAGACATTCTTTTTAAGTGTATCGTACAATATTGTTGTCAGTTTTCAAAATGTTTGTGAAGCAAATGTCTTATGGAATTTTCTTAACAGTTATCATCACATTGCACTCAGGTGAGGTCAGTCAGGTAATGTGATCAAGCATGACTTTATACCCCCCCCATCTCAATAAGATAAAAATCTACAAAGGGAAATAAGTGCATTCTTAGTAGTCTTCTAACCTTACTTTGAAATAGGAAAAGTACACCTCTATTTTTGTCAAAAAAATGAATTATCAAAAGAATAACAATACTGCGATATTAGGTACATTTCCAATATTTAAAAATAACAATATTTGTTCAAGCAAGGAATGTCTTTGTAACCAATATCCATTTTAAATCCAGGGGAGTTGGTTGTAAAACATAATGCTTATGGAATGTAATTAATATAGCTGACAATTCTGCATTTAAACAACACAATTATTTTCAAATCTTACTAGAAAAGCTAAATAGTCCACTCAGTGGACATAGTCATCTAAAGAGACCTACAGGAGTGCTTAAGTAGATAGAGCAGGCTTATGTAAGGGGAGAGTGATTCCAGGTGGTGTAGTGAGTTTCCTGTCAGGCTAATAATCACAAGTTTAGCGGTTCAAAATCACGAGCTGGTCTGCTGGAGAAAGATGAGGCTTTCAACTCCTGTACAGAGTTACAGTCTTGGAAACCCACAGGACAGTCACTCTGTCCTATTGTTGTTGTTAGGTATGACCAAATCACCTCCAACCCTTAGTGACCTCTGCACAACAGAACGGAACCCTGGCTGGTCCTGCGCCGTCCTCACAATTGTTCCTATGCTTTCCTGCAGCCACCGGATCAACCCACCTCACTGAGAGCCTTCCTGTTTTTTTTTTTTTTTTGCTACTCTTTCACTTTACCAAACATGGAGTTCTTCTCCAGGGATTGGTCTCTCCTGACAATATGTCCAAAGTACGTAAAATGAAGTCTTACCATCCTTGCCTCTAAGAAGCACTCTGGCCTTACTTCTTCCAACACAGATAGGTTTATCCTTTCAGCGGTCCATGGTACTTTCAATATTCCTCTCCAGCACCATACTTCAAATGCATCAATTTTTCTTCAGCCTCCCTCAGTCAGTGTCCAACTTTCACATGCATGTGATGCAATGGAGAACACCATGGCTTGGGTCAGGCGCACCTTAGTCCTCAAAGTAACATCCTTGCTCTTCAGTACTCTAAAGAAGTCTTGTGCAGCAGATGTACCTAATGCAATCGGTCTATTGATCTCTTGACTGCTGCTTCTATGAGCATGGATTGTAGATCCAAGCAAGACAAAATCCTTCACAACTTCGACCTTTTCTCTATTTATTATTATATCATCTATTTGTCCAGTCGTGAGGATTTTGATCTTCTTTACTTTGAGTTGCAATCCAGACTGAAGACTGCAATCCTCGATCTCCAACAGAAAGTGCTTCAAGTCCTCCTCACTTTCAGCCAGCAAGGTTGTGCCATTTGCATACCACAGGCCTTCCTCCAATCCAGATGCCACAGTTTTCTTCATATAACCCAGCTCCTCTGATGATTCGCTCAGGGAACTGGTGGAACAAGTATGGTGAGAGGACACAACCCCGACACTCACCCTGATTTTAAACCACACAGTATTCCCTTGTCCTTGTCGTAAAGAGTCTTACTGGGTCAGAACCAACTCGATGGCAGTGAAGGAGAGATGCAGAGTTCATCAGTGTCTTGACCTCAGCCCTGTTACATTTGACTGTGGGCATTCTGTGCTGGACATTGTACGATGTTTAGCAGTATCCCTGAACCCTACCACTGGATACTAGTAACATTCTCGCCTGACAATCAAAACATATCCCTAGACATTGTCAACTGTTTCTTAGAAGGCAAATGCACCCTGATTAGGTACCAGCTTCTGTTAGCTGAAGTGAATATCTGTAGTATGTTGCAGGCACTTTGGGTATAAGGTGTAAACATCCCAAGCCTCCTACCACTGTGCTGATTCTGATTCATAGAGACCCGATACAGTGTTTCTCAACCTTTGTAAATCTTGTCAAGAGCAAATGCCCTAAACTTCCATCAGGTGAGTTTGAACTGGTACTCTTGCAGTTAGCAGTCCAACACTCACCTCCCAGGGTTCCTTAGGATAAAACATAAATGTCCAGAATTTAGACCTTTAAAGCAAATAGATCATTGTAATTCCCATTGCCCCCCCTGAGCCCATAGCTATTTAATTTGAATGTAAATGAAGCACTATTTGAAGTTGTCAGAGGATTTAGCCAACTCACTAATTTTTAACTATGGTAAGAATGAACTTGACAAATCAAAGCCTTTCTGGTGAGCTTTGAAATGCTCAAAGTATTTAGCTCTTGGGAATGACCATGATGTCATGGGTTTTCATGTACATGTAAATAAAGGTCACCAACTAATTTAAGAGATGCATCAGAGTTCAGAGCCCAACCACTGTGGATTATTGCTAGAGCAGACACACAAATATCACGCCAGATGTGCCTCTACTTCGACTTTCACCTTGGAAAGTGAGAGAGAACTGAGATTGGTGAGATTTTTGAGATCTTTTGTCCTGCTTAGGTGGTTAGGTATGGATTTTAAAAAATTAAGAGTCAATGATAGAATTCAGTTCTTGTACTGTATAAAAAAAGGAAACTGGGCGATAGGGACAAAAGGACTTGGAAAACTCACCCCACTAGCCAGAGCCTGTGCCTTCTCTCTAAGTGGCAGAGGAAGTGGTATCAGAACACCGGTACATTTAATTTAGCTTTTCTCTTTCGCTGAGTTGCTCAGAATGTTTTTCAGATTTAATTTCATTTAATTTTAATTCAGGTGCAAACTGGAACATACAGTACTGGATGAAAGAGGACTTGAAGTTATTTATCTGTTATGTAGAGCCATCACTTGAGAATTCCTTCAAGACTTCTGATCTTAATGTTCATCTTTTATATGTTCTGTAAGTACCGACTACATTAATTTGGTGGTTTCTAGTATGCAAAGTTTTTTTTTTGTATGTTAGAACTTCCGTAAACCAAAGTGAGTTATAAAACATCTCTCAACCTTACATTTCATTTTCATTCTATGTTCAGCTTGAGGGAGCAATTTGTGTATTATTTCTTTATACCAATGTTCTTTTCCATTAGATTCCTTCTTTTCTCCCCCTGTTGATTTAGGTAGCAAGATAATACAAATTACAAATAGGTATGTGCATGTATTCTGAAATAACTGTGAATTTATTTCAGGAACTTTAGACATTTGAATTGTAAAGGGAAAAAAAGTTTCTGTTTTCAGGTAGATTTATTCTCCACATATTTATTGTGTTACAAGTAAGTGTTTAATGGGTACCTAATATTTGTTTGAGGTTGGCAGCCCAGGTGGTGTTTCAAACAGCCACACATTTATAACTCTAACAGCTAATATGTCTTTCCCTGGTATTCCTGATCCGCACAAAATGTTAAACATTCATCACCTACTAACTGAAAGGTCGGTGACTTAAGTCAATGCAGAGGTACCTTGGAAGAAAGGCCACCATCTTGAAGTTCTATGCAGTTCTACTCTGAAACACCTGGGGCCCTGCGGGTCACATGAGACCCTAAGGCATCATTCAAGTTTTCTAATAACTCTGATAATGCCTACCATTTCACTGTGAGTTTAATTTCTTGAAATTCTTCCTCCTTGTTCTTTTATTTGATGCGTAAGGAGAAAAAGTGTATTCAATTCTGCAGTTGAGTCCTACTATGTGAAGGGCAGTGTGTTAGAAAATGCCCAGATAAAGATGGATTGTTGTGATGTGTCCTCGAGGCGTTCACAGGCCAGTGGTAGTCATTGGGACAGTTAGTGATCTGTCTATGGTAGAGCTGAGTTGGGGCTAGGTAACCCAGCCAACGAGAGCTGAGAGGAGTGCGGCTGATTGAAGGAAGGAAAGGTTGAGTTTTCAAAGAAAAATGAAAAAGCTAACAAGAAATTGTGTGCGCAGTAGGGTGTCAAGAAGTGGATAATTATTCTATAGGAACTGCTCGTTGACTTCTCTAGTGTTACATAAGATAAGTGAAAGAGAAATTCTGTGAGTGAGGACTGTCGATCTGTGTTTTCCAAGGTTTTTTGGATGATCTTAATGGAGCGAAAGTTTGAGAATCATTGCTGAAGAAGCTTGATTCTAGATAGATTTTAGAATCAGCCTATTTGAGTTCAAATCCTTTCTCTTCCAGTTACTGGAGATACACATATAGCACTTGCTCTGAATCGCTTATGATTCAGCAATTCTAATTCTAGGCACTAACTCTTGATAATATTCACACAGAAGCTCACCAACTGTTGCCAGAGTGAATAAATATTGCCAAAATGCTTTCAAAAAACTTGTGCTAATTACTGTCTAGAAATGTAGTCATGACTCAAGAAATTATTAGGAAAGAAATAAAATTATCTACGGGCGGTCAATTTTGCCAGGTACGGCAGAATGGTATGATCAAAGCTGAAAAATATCCATCTATTCACCAAGGTATAAGTAATGGACACTTTAGCAGGAGCTGCTTAAGGGGAATAGAAGAAAAAGGAGCAATAACAAGAGGAAAGCTGACTGCTGAGGATGTGCTGCTGACCCTGGACGTGGTTAGCATACGTTCTATAGGTCCTGGCCCCACAGCAGTTTGATGGCGGGATCTCGCAGAGCTGGAGCTCAGCTCTCTGCAGAGCGGATGCCAAACAACTGACTTTCAGGGATTTCAGAGGAGGCAGACTGTTACTGGTTCTAACATGGGAGGAGAGAATTTGGTTGCTGCTGCCAACTGCTGCTGCTTGGTGAAGAACCTTTGCTGGGGTGATACTGACAAGAATGAGAAATGAGGCCGTTGTTAGGGTGGCAATCTATTTTAGGTTACCAACACCTGTACTTGTTAACTATTTCTATACTTGGAGTATTAAAAATGCATACTCCAAAAATTCATGGCTGACAAGAACAATAATGTATTATTACAGTTTCTGTAGGTCAAGGATCCAGCTAGAGGATTTGCCTCAATGTCTCTGAAGACTATGTGCAAGTGTCTGCTGTAGTCATTTTCAGGGTCAACTGCAGGTAGCCTTGGAAGCTCACTTGGCTTCCAAGTTCCACATGGGTTTTTAGACCACGACTTCATTTATTACTGACTATGGGATGGAAGCCTCCTTTAGTTTCTTGCTACTTTGATCTCTCCATTAGGTAGCTGACAGCATGGCAAATGGGCTCTATTAGAGTGAGCCAACAGGCATGAGAGAGGGAGGGAAGAGAGAGGGAGACAGAGAGACAGAGAACATGCTAGTGAGCATGAAGAAAGTCCATCTTTTTGTAACCTGGTTTTGGAAGTGATATCCCATCACTTTTTTTTGGTATTCAGTTTGTTAGATTCAACACATTTTAGATTAAGCACATACTCAGTTGTTAGCTACCGTGGAGTTGGTTCCAGTTCATAGCAACCCCGCGTACAACAGAATGAAACACTGCCCCATCTGGGGTCATCCTCACAGTTTTTCTTAAGTTTGAGCCCATTGTTGCTGTGTCAACCCATCCTATCTACCGCCTTCCTCTTTTTCATTGCCTCTCTACTTTACCAAGCATGACGTTCTTCAGCAGGGACTGATTTCTCTCGATAACATGTCCAAATTATACGAGGAAAAAGCCTCGCCATCCCTTCTGGCTGCACTTCTTCCAAGACAGACATGTTCATTTGGCAGTCCATGGTATTTTCAATATTCTTTGCCAGTACTATCATTGAAATGCATCAATTCTTCTTTGGTTTTCCTTATTCAACGCCCAACTTTCACCAGCATGAATGGATTGACAATGGCATGGCTTGGGTCAGGTGCGCCATAGTTCTCAAAGTAACCCCTGCCCTTTTCAACTCTTCAAAGGCCTGAAAAGTGCAGGTGCTACTCTGAGGACTAAGGTGTGCCTGAGAAAGAGAACACACAGGAGGAAGGGATCATTTGGGAGCCATGTTAGAAGCTACCTACCATAGTGACCCAGAGCTTATTTCCCTTAACTGCATTTGAGTATTCGGTTATTATTATTATTTGTATCCATCCACTGAGGCAGTTACTTGCAAAAAATCAGTCTGGCTAAGTCCACTTTCTACTATCTCTATACATGTAAGGACATGCTCAGAAAAATATCTGTATTGATTGGGTTTCATTGAAGGTGGATAGGATAGATATAATCTGTCCACAGATAGCATTGTACTTCATGATGGATTTAGCAAGATCCTTTCTGACAATGAATGCCACGCCATTCCAACCGTAGTTGGAAATATGCACTTGGTGACAAAAATGAAGCTGGAGATTGATTGCATGATAGAATTTTGCAAAACCAATGACTTGTTCATAGCAAATACCCTTTTTTCAATAATATGGAAGGTGATTATATAAGTGGTTTTTCCCAAATGGAATACACAGAAATAAAATTGACCACATCTGTGGAAAGACACAATGGTGAAGCTCAATATCAGCAGCTAAAATTAAACGAGGGCCGACTTTGGAACAGGCCATCAATTCTCATATGTAATTTCAGGATAAAGCTGAAGAAAGTGAAAACAAGTTCACAGGAACTAAAATACGACCCTGACGCTATCCCATCTTACTTTAGAGAACATCGCAATAACAGATTTGACGTGTTGAATACTAATGACAGAAGACCTGATGAGGCCATCATTAATGGAGAAAGCAAAAGGTCATTAAAAAGACAGGAAAGACTGGCTCATCTCCTCCCCGAGACCCCTCTGCAAGGGGATCTCCAGATGTAACAATGATGAGAAATAGAACTTTCCTCTAGTTCCTAAAGGTTTCCTCCCCGCTCCCACTACCATGACTCGAATTCAATCTTGCAAGTCTGGCTAGAACAGAGGAGGTACACTGGTACAGATAGGAACTGAAAATACAGGGAATCCAGGACGGATGAGCCCTATAGGACCAGTGGTGTGAGTGGCAAAAC